GCCCAAAATTACCTTCAAAAATTTATTTTTGTTTCTGGTTCTAAACAAAAGCTTCCCACTGAAGCTTCAACTTCCTCAACAATTTCCCCTTCTAAACTAATTCTTTCAAATACTCAAACGCCAAGTGGCATCCTACCCACACCCATCTCTTCCGAAGAAACCAAACAAATCTATCAGCAACATCATCTTGATGTCGCACCTACCTCAACGGAGGTGGCATCTTTGATAGCCCCTCTCAAAACCGTTTTTCCCAAAACCCAAGAGGTGGTGGTTGTCCAAGCCCCTCAAAATCGATTTCAAACGTATTTTAAGAAAAACACTTTTCAACCCATTTTCGTTGTCGAAGATGGTTTCTACCATCAATATCCAAATGTTACTGCCAAACATTTCCTCAATGAGTGGTTCTTCAAACCAAGATCCCTCAACAAAACCCACAAATATTATGAACTTATCCTCATAGAAACTGGATCGGTCACCTTTTCCCACAAATTTGATCATTCAGACAAAACACTCAATACCCACTCAACCTGCAAAATCCACCAAATTATCCACCCTCGCCAATGGCCTACTAGTCCAAACACCAACCAAAAATTCCCTGCTACTATTGCTCTTAACCACCCGCAAATCTGCCAATCCTTCAATTACTGGGATTACCATGAAGCTTGGATTAATGCCTTCTTCTAGCAAAACCATATGTACCGACACTCCTGGAGTTTTTTCTGGGATTACAAAACTCCCATTATTTTCCCCAACTGGTTTATGCACTGGTGGGATCTTTTTGGGCCAACTGAAAATATCTATCCAACTGAGATACAAGAGGGATATCAAACCTTCTGTCAAAAATATTCTGGTCCAGGATTACCCCTCCTCAAATTTTGTTACTACATCAAAGTTCCTTGGATTACTGCTTGGGAATTCAGTTACCAAACATGTGCCGTCACAAAGGTACCCATGTTAGGCCGCAGCTTCAAAACCAAATATTGGGCTGCAAATCCTCGCCCAGAACAAGCCTACAAACCTCAAGTCCTCCAATGGTTCAATAACAATCCTGAATTGTCCAAAGTTATCGAAAAATCCTCAACGCAATTTTTGCAAACAAAATCCTCAATCAGCGCTCTCTTAGTTGGCGCCAAGACTGAAGAAGAATACTTCCAAATTCTCAAAGATGTGGCGTCTAGCTCAACATCTGACGCAGATTCCACGTTCCAAAACCATGACCCGGATGAAGAAGTGCTTGGTCCTTTCCCAAGCAAAAGCACTAAGTTGAAGACAAAGAAGAAGTGACCCCATTGCTTCTTCCACTACCATAAAGACAAAGAAGAAGTGACTCCACTTCCAACCCACTCAATTTGGTTATGGAAAGAAGACCACAAATTATCTATTTTTCTTTATATTAAAAATGTAATTTTGTTATGACATGTGACATAATCATATAAATGTCCACATTGTCATCATTATGTTTTTCAATTTATTTACCAAAAGGCGACTCCATTTCTCTGTAAAAGGAGACTCCCTTCACTTGTTGTAGGTAGAGTTATTTTGAGTGGGAATTGCTCTCTTGCAAAGCTATCCTCCCATCATCTTCTCTCAAGAATTCATGTGTAAGAAGTCTATCAAACTATCAAGTTTCACTTCATCTTTTTCAAACCATCTTCAACTTTTGTTTATTTCGTGCATAACTGGTCATCTCCAGTTCAACTGGTCATCTCCAGTATTTATTTTATGCAAATCTGGTCATCTCCAGTATTTATCTTCTGCTAATCTGGTCATCTCCAGTATTTATCTTCTGCTAATCTGGTCATCTCCAGTATTTACTTTTTGCAAATCTGGTCATTTTCAGTATCATTTACTTTACAAACTATTTTCAAGTTAATCTTTTGTTGGCTGTCTCATTTAATCTTTACTGGTATCAGAGCCTGGGGGAAGGGTTTGTCTAAATCTTCTTACTTATTATTAGTTGATGAATTAAATTGAGTTATTATATATATATATATATATATATATATATATATACATATATGGTGCCTTCTACGGTACCCCGGGTGAAATCCGGGGTACCGCATACTTTGAGTATGAAAACGCTATCTAGACATCGAATTAGCAGGATTTTTGGGCATGGTACTATACCCTAGGTCCTAATTATCTAAATCATAAACTATAAATCCTAAAATGGTGCATTGATTTTTGTGCCTATATTTGGACGAATCATAACCGTCAATTTTTGTTTCTAATTAAATTGATCTTGGGGTATTAGATTTAGAGAATTAAGACCTAGATTTTGATCTTTAAGTGTTAGAGTATAGTATCATGCCCGAAAGATCAGTCAATTCAAGTTATGGATAACATTTTCTTACTTAAGGTATGCGGTACCCCGTATTTCACCCTGGGTACCATAGAACTCCTCATATATATATATATATATATATATATATATACATATATATATATATATATATATATATATATATATATATATATATATATATATATATGGTGGCTTCTATGGTACCCCGGGTGAAATACGGGGTACTGCATACCTCAGGTATGGAAACTCTATCTAGACCTCGAATTACCAGGATTTTTGGGTATGATATTATACATATCGATCAAATGACGTGTATATCTTACTTCAATATATATAAAGCTACAACAACAAAATTATGTAGCTGCATGCATGTAAGACACATGTTCAGGCGTTTGACTTACACAAATTCATGTCGGTTCATTTAACTTACACAAAAACTGTCGACACTAACCCAATTTGTGTCCGTTCTAACCCTAGGTAGTCTAGATAGCTAGGATTTTGAAGAGTGTAGAATGGGCCTATATTAGAGATGTTTAATGGGCCCAAGATACTTTCCCATTAAGAGAAGTGATAAAATGTTTTGTGTATTAGATATCAGTTTGTTAATGGTTTTTTTAATGGTATAATACCAGTTAAACCAATAAAACGTGAACCACTTATTATACCAACTTATACTCCAGTTTGGTTTTAACAATATTCAAAAATTTAAATTTATGAAGTCCAATTTAAAAAAGTACTTCTTATCAACGAGTAATAGTTTGTTGCAACTTCTTTTTTCTATAACATTGGCACACACCCCGCAGCAATGCGCGGGCTCTTCTCTAGTTTTATCTAAAAGCAATTGTGATCACATAATCAATATATTCTTTCGTCCACTGAATTCTTCAGTTGATCACATAAACAAATTGATGAATTATGATCGTCAATCGACATTACAAAACGTGATTTGTAGCTCGTACCATACCTTGATCGACTACCCGTAAGAGTCAATATGTTTTTAATTTAGTTTTGAAAATATGAAATAGTTTGAACTCATTTCTCCATTATCTAATAGGGTAATAAGATCAATTTGGTTAGAAGCCCTTATCCTTATTTTTATGCTGTCGCCATCACAACTAGCTTCTTTATTCACCACCCGATTCGATTAAGAGAATCGACACTACTACAAGTTCTGTTCCTACGTCTATATAGTGATTTGTATAGATCGAATCACTTGTCTAATATTAAATTGATTAAATAGAACCTAGTAAAATAGCCGATCAGAGCGTTTCGATAACATTACCATGTTTGCTTTGTTATATTCTAGAGGGGAAAACTTGATCTGTAATTATCCTCATAAAGCTAGAGTTGAGAGACTTGAGAAGTTGGCTCCTCTTTGACTGACTAATTTCTACGTGCACCATATGTGGGCATGTGCCACCTATCCGACTATTCCTGAGCCACCCCCTCAAGTTGATGCTTATAATGGCAACAATTGTATATGTTCACAAGCAAAGTCAAACATTAAAATATATAGCACCAGTGTTAAATTCATAATCCCAATCAAGAGAATAATTGGCCGCCATTGATGTGCAGTAGTAGCTAGCATCACCTTGTAATTTGGCCATTGGACGTGGAATGGAGTCCGCCTTAAAAAAAGGTGTCTGGTGCTGCGTTAGTTAGTTGTTTTGGGTAGTAAACAGCAGAGAATTAAGGAATTATGTAGAAGACGAGTAAAGTATTTTGTTTTTCGATGAAGACGAGTAAAGTATTTGGGCGAAGTTGAGGGGCCGGGCAAATTAAGAAAGTTGAGAATAAAATAGTATGTACAGTCCATGTGGGTCCAATCCCCAGTCCTGAATCATTTCTACTGTAATCACATAACATTATGGGTAAGTGGAGAAGGGGTTTTATTCATATTGCAATTCGGAAACTGGTGAGAAAGTTGATTCATAAACAAAATGGTGACAAAAATAGAATCATGGTCAGCTAATTATTACATGAAGCAGACTGTGTTTACTGCTATAAAGGGAGACTGGAATTTCAGGTTTTCACACCATAGCCTTGTGACAGTGATGAGTAACTTTCTTCAAAAAGCTAGACTAATTAGGTGTTGTTTGATTTCCCCTAATGATTAAACGGATATGTTCATTGTACGCGCAATATTCATTGACAGCCAAGAAGCTAAGAGAGATCAGCAATGATGGATGAGGGAATAAGAATAAAATGAAGAGAGCAATATTCATTAACAGTCTATCTGTCACTCAACTTTATATATGATTCATTCATTGATTTTGTATATGGTACAAATTACAGGAAGCAAGCCTAGCCTCATCATCCGCAGGTTTACAAAATGCCCAATTAACATCTGAAACTAGAAACAGAAAATTAAAAACTAAACACAAAAAGGGTAAAGAAAAGAAGAGGTGTAAGTAATTAGGCTAGTAATATGAATTGGCTTGGGCCTTTTGGTCTCTGGAGAGGGCTGTGTTGTATACCTATGTGTTGTGTGTGTGTTTTTCTTTTTACCTATGCTGTTGGCTGTATATTATATATATATGATTACATATCAAGTAGACAATCCAAAAACTTTTTGCCTACTCAACTTAACAAGGGGAAATTTTACGTTGTTTGTGTACTTGTCTTGTATGGGTTAGGGAGGAAACTTGGTTAATCAGCTGGGGTTTTTTTTTTTTTTTTTGTTGGCGATGGTTGATCAGAACTGCGAGATGCAGCGCCTGTGACAAGCCGTGGTCCGCTTGTTCTGCTGCTTGGTTTCGGATTTCCAGACCTGGCTGATGTCGTCTGCGATCTTAACGGCGTCCGCAGAAGCACCAGAGAGGCCTCTCTTGGTGAATCCAACGGCGTAGAGTCCCGATTTCCCCTTCCAGGCGTTGGGGAAGGGGGCCTTGGGGAACCCATTCTTGGCAAACAAGTCGGCCTCCTGAAGCCAGTAAGGGACGTTGCTGCGGTATCCGGTCGCCATCACCACGGAATCCACCTCCAGGGTCTCGCCATTGACGAGCTCTACCTGCCCATAGCCGAATCTCTTGATCCCGGGCACCACTTGGATGTCTCCCGATTTGATCTTCTCGAGGGCGCCGATGTCGAGAACAGGGGTCTTTCCTTGCTTGTTCTTCAGGGTCAATGGCCCCACCGACGGCCGCTTCAGGCCGTAGTTCTCGATGTTTCCGATCACCAGCCACGTCAGGATCAGCAGGATGGTGTCGACGAGCCAGAGTGGGAGCCAGCTCATGAGCAGAGCCGCCAGCTGGAAAGTGGATTTGCCGAATATTTCTCTGGGCAATACGTGAACCTGGAGAGAGAGGGAACCATTAGCTCGATTAGCATCTTCTTCCTGTTTGATAAAATGCCTGACCCAATAATTCTTACGAGAGGCCGGGGAGAAAAATTAAAAGAAAACGATTGCTTACCGAGCTGCGAACAACCATGGACGGCGAAGCATTGTGGTTGGAGAGATCAAGGGAAAGCTCCATCCCTGAATTCCCGCAGCCGACGACAAGCACCTTCTTGCCTCTGTACTTTTCCCCGGACTTGTAGTCGGAAGCGTGAATGACCTCCCCGCCGAACTCGGCCAGCCCGTCGATGTCCGGCATCACGGACTCGGCGTTCTCGCCGGTGGCCACCACGAGCCAGCGGCAGATGTACTCAACCTCGGTGCGAGCGGAGACGGTCTTGACCCGCCACAGGCCGCTGGTCTCGTCGTACCTTGCGGACTGGACGCACTCGTTGAACTTGGGGCTGATCTCGAACCGCTGGGAGTAGGATTCCAGGTACTGGATGAACTGCTTCTTGGTTGGGTACTCGGGGAAGTCCTCCGGGAAAGGAACTTTGGGGAGCTGGCAGAACTGCTTGGGAAGGTGGAGTTTGAGGCGGTCGTAAGTGCGCTTCTGCCACAGCGAGGCAATGCAGTCCTCTTTCTCCAGGACCAGAAAGGGGACGCCTTGCTCTCGTAGGCAGGCAGCGGTCGCCAGCCCCGAGGGCCCGGCCCCGACGATGATTGGGCCGTTAACCCAAATGCACCGGCGGGAGAAGAAATCCTCGTTATTGTTATCGGCGAAGCGAAACAGATTCTCCATTTGTGGCCGGGATTGAAATTTAGAGCTGGTGGTTTATGTGTTTGAAGAAATGCGTAAGAGAATTGGATGGATGGAGAGAGAGAGAGAGAGTTTTGTGTTGTAGGTGAATATTGTTGTAAGGACTAAGGACGGACTAAAGGAGTGAATGATTGGTTTTAGTTTTGAATGAATTTTGGGAGGGAGGAAGGGGCGTATAAATAGGGAGGATGGAGAAGTTGGGAAATGGCTGGCATGTGATCATCAGTTGGGAGAAGTGTCTTCTTCTCAAATCATGAGCCCAGTGTAGTGTAGTTTAGTGGCTGCCTGGGATTATTTTATTTCATTTTATTTTATTCCTGAGGGGTATTATTGTTATTATTAAGAAAATCATTTTGTTAGAGAGCTTAATCAATGAACAAGGATCCTGAATTAGTTTAATCCGAATTTGATACCAATTTCGGGTGTCACTATCACAAGGGCATGTGATGACTTCGTTTCTCTGCATAATAAGGGGGGGGAGGGGAGGCTTACATTACATCACACAAATCAATACAATATTGTGAATACATTAATTATAATCCCACAGCCAATTTTACGGCTCCTCCATTACCCATTTTGCTCATTGACCACAAGAGAAGAGACTACATGTGACCGTCTTTCTCCTTGCAACCACCCTACCCATGACCACGAGAGTGGACTTCTTCCATCACTTTGTAAACTTAACGGCAGAAACAAGACCAGAACCTGAATCGAAGAAGAGGTACGTTGACCTCGATTTTTTATGCTTCACACACAAGGATTAACTCTACCGGAGTAAAAACCCTCATATACTCATTTCTAGAGGAAATGTTCTATTTATAACACTGTTGGCTTTAATTGACTGTATATACAAAATGATTATTATTATTATTATTATAATCATTTTAATACTGTTGTAACTATTAGAAACAAACAATTCTACTTGCAATCAATTATGGATATCTAATATCCTCCTTAATCCGTTTAGTATAGGAAAATCCCTACATTTGATGTGGATGAGGCGAGGTACCCGCAAAAAAGTAATCGGATGAGTCGGGGATGGATTTAGAATTTTAGATGTCTGTGGCCCATCGTCATACTCATACAAATTCACGTTTGTTTCTTATACTACATACTAACGGCAAAAGTTTATGCAGTTACGGGTAATCGTATTTAATTTTACTGTTGACCATTATCAATAATTTTATTATTGATAGTGTAGCATTATTGTTATTAGAATAATAATTTTCTTCGAGAGCTTAATAAATGTACAAGGATCCCATTATCAAAATAAATGTACAAGGATCCATGACAAGATATGTGATTTGTATTTGGTTCTCTGTGTAATAAGAGGGGACGCTTACATCACATATTTATTGTGAATACATTAATTAATAGTGTAGCATTACACAGCCCATTTTACGGCTCCTCCATTGCCCATTGCTCATTGACCATAAGAGACTACATGTGACCGTCTTTTTTCTTCCAAGTAGCCTACCCTTGACCATCAGAATGTGCTTCTTCACTGAATTAAAGAGGTTGACCTCTATTATTAAATGATTTTCTATGCTTCACACAAGGATTAAGTCATCATATGATTTTTTTTTCTTACTAAGCTTACCAAAGGCATACATCAATTTTACCGAAAACGCTCCTGAACTAATTTGTGTTTTTTTTGAACACCAGTGGTTTTCTTATCATGAAACCTATGAAGAATTTACTAATGAGAATTTGTTGTTACATTGTTTAGCCTCATTTTACTAATAAGAAGTTTATGTTACATTGTCTAACTAACTGTATCATCAGATTAAGTAAATACATAGCAGGCCTATCGAACCAAGTAATTCTCTCATCCAACCTCTTTTTCGTATGAGGCATAATATGAGCAACTTTATTAGCATTTCAACGAACATGAGCCCACGTACCTTTCCTCAATTCTTGCACAACGCATACGAATGTTATGAAAAACAACCCCGAACACCTTTTGCAACTCCTCCGCTATAGTAGTTCTGGATAAAGGAAAGAGAATTTGATTCTAAGATAGGGCAGGTCACCTGGAATTGTTTGGCAAGTTGAAGGTCGAACTCCGCCCCGAGTGTATCACCCATCTCCATGCCATGGCTTCCTTAAATCCTTTTTGTTGCCACTAACTTCGACGTTGACACCACTAACTGCACGATGGTCGGGCGAACAGAGATCTTCCCAATGGAGACACTTTACTTGTTAGGACTGAGCGACGCATTGGTACATGCATAGATGGTCTCCGACCTTCAACCCTCTTCAGACCAGTGGTAGAGGAGGTTGGTGAGTCTTCATAGAGGGCTCCAATACCATACTAAACGTGACCATACTGGCACTTCATCATCATCCAGAGTCGGTCCCTCTTCCTTGGGCAACATTGTGGCACGAGTCACTATTCTAGAGGACGTAGCCAGATTCTCATCCCAGACCGCCCGAGAGAGTGATTCCCGGCATGGCGGCATCATTCGCACCGCATGGAGGAGGTGTTCCTACGTGCCCATGTTATCTAGTTCGGCTCAAGATTGGGTGAGTAACCTTAGGGTGAGTAACAATGAGTAACCAAATCTGGACCCTTCTTTTAAGTGACTGCAGATCTAAGGGTGGAGAATTAAAGGAATTTATTTTCCCTAGTTTTCTTAATTGGATCATATCTTCTTCATTCTAACTTGGATTTCAATTTTTTTTTTGCACAGATGGAACGAGTTAGTTGTGCTCTACAAAATGATATCCATTTTCAATATTTTTTGAGAATGGATATCATTTTGATTGAATATTTTTTCATGAAAATTGAGTGTCCTTGATCAAATCCCACAATTTTGGGGCAAATTGACCTAAGAGGGAGAATGTCACCTTATGTCAATTTGGGTCACTATTCAATCAACGTCAAGAGCCATGAATCACGATAATTGGTATCTTTACACCGTACACCTCTCCGATTAGATTGATTAGGTGGGTTAGGATGCACTCGAACAGGGGGTTCTAACTATATTAGATCTCCAAATGCTATATATAGAACTTGCCTAGTATACTAGAGTCTCATAATCTCATCTCCACATGGGACTAGATGGAATATCATCCGAGTGGAGCCTTCTTATCTTGGATTCACCTTCGTTTTAGTTGTTTGTTTGCTTAGTTTGATAGTTTTTAAACAACGTTTTAATCACTAGATAACATGTGGTATACTGAAGTAATTAAGGTTAGACAAACCGCTCGGGTTGATAATTGAAAATCTAACTGCCCCATACTACACTGTCGTAGGATTATATTTGGCATATGGTGAGACTATATAATATGTCGTGAATCAAGAACATAGCCGCTAAAAAATATATGAAGGAAAAATAGGACAAAAGGGAGCGATTTCCAGCACTAATCTATTAAAGAAACAAAAAATCACTATCCTAACATTAGGTATTAACTAACTTAACGTTCATTGTGTATGGATGTAGTGTCATTGTATCATTATTGGGATAAGATACATAATTTTTAGATCATCTATAGGAAACACCTATATTTTGACCGGGCATGTCACTGATTTTGTATCGAGTAGTGACATGAACCACCATGACCGTGCGTTACATCAGTTTGGCATGGATAAGAACATATATATATATATATATATATAGCCCATGATCCAGAGATGTTATATATAGAAGACAACAAGGAGTACCACTTGGCGCCTACTAATTAGCATCACATACCAGAAGAGATTGTGCTTGGGGACTGATTTTGTGCCCCTTGGAAGAGAAGAAACCCCTAGAGAAGTTCACCTACATTGAAAATCATCCAATATGTGTGTTGAAGATAACCTACATGTTAGTTGAACTTCTCGTTAGTGTTGTTCTTCCTTAATATAGCCGACAGCTGCTTCAGATCGATGACTAATCTGTTCCTCACTTCACAATTTTGGGCCAGGTCATGGTCGTGGAAAGGAGAAAGCTTTTACCAAAGTGGGGGATCAAAAATGAATTTTTTTTTATACTAAATTTACATGAAAAATAGAAAGGTCATAACAAGAATAAAAAAAAAAACTATTCCATTTAGTATTCATTTGGACTACATTTATGGTATTTGGAGAAGGACACACCCTACTATTCATATTCTTTTCAAACCAAACATAATATTTGTTGTACTTAAATATTACGCTTGCATTAAAATTATGACCAAATACTACACTAAAGTGTGCAATTCAAACTACGCATAAACTTATATTCAGTGGCGGAGCCAGAAATTTGAATAAGGGGGAAAAAATATGTAGTGGAGTGATTTGAACCATGATCATTGGTGAGGGGCTAGTAGTTTATCAACTAGTCAATTTTTAAAATTTGTTACACATTTTCCATATAAATTTATCTATTTTTGAAAATTGAGGGGTGTATAGCCCACCTATCTTAACGTGGCTCCACCACTGCTTATATCCATATCCAAATAAAGGAGGAGCAGCTTCGTTCTGGCTGCGTCAAAAAGCGATATCCTTAAGAACAACAAAAAGGAAATTAAGCGATATTCTTTGTGAACATAAAGGTTAAAAAAAATGTATTTGGCTACAACGAGTGGAAAGCTAAAAAGTGAGATTGTAAAGTAGTGATCACATTCAGACGCCAACGAGGTACGCGGTTGGGTACGTAGTTTAGTGCTAAAAGCTAAACTCTTGGTATGATGGCATGCACACAGTTTTTTTATTTATTTTATAAATTAATGAAAGGGTGGCTGGAATTTGCGAAGATAAGAGTGAGCTGTTACATTGAACTTTACTGCCAACATATGCTGGGCCTTGGGGGTCTAAATTTAATTAGTCGAAACTTCATTTGTAGAGCAGCCAACTCGATGAATCGGTGACTGATCACTCTGCTTTTTTCTCGATTTTTGGAGAGGGATTCCCATTCCCATTCCCTCCTCTCTACTGTGCTGTAGTTAGGGAATGAATGAATGAATGTGTGGTTAATCTTCTACAACTATGCATTAACTATGATTACAGAAACAAG